GGGACCAATCAGACCTTATCTTGAACTGTTCTGATGTTAGTTAAATGAATTCTAATTAGTTCTGCACTCAATGATTGGAAATTCCTGATTAAATAAGTGTTATTTACTTCCTCGGATTGTTTGTATTGTACAGCCTAATGTGGAATGCATAATTCTGTTTTTGTGGTCCAGAATCAATGGACACATCACACACTAAACTCTTACTATTATTGATGTACACTGATCAGTCATAACATTATAATCACTGAGAGGTGAACTGAATAACATCGATTATCTCATTACAATGGCACCTGGAAGTGGGTGGGATATATTAAGCAGCAAGTGAACATTTTGTCCCTGAAGTTGATGTTTTTGGAGCAGAGAAAATGGGCAAGAGTTAGGATTTAAGCAATTTTGACAAGGGCCAAATTGTGATGGCTAGACAGCTGGGTCAGAGCAACTCCAAAACTGCAGTTGTAATAAGATGTTCACAGTCTGCCGTTGTCAGGACCTACCAAAAGGGGTTCAAGGAAGGAAAAACACTGACACGGCAACAGGGTCATGGGCGGCCAAGGCTCATTGATGCACATGGGGAGCGAAGGTTGACTCATGTAGTTTGATCCAATAGAAGAGCTACTGTAGCTCAAATTGCTGAAAAAGTTAATGCTTTCCGATATTGGTTATTGGTTCCGATAGAAAGGTGTCTGAATACACAGTGCATTGCAGTTTGTTGCGTAACTGCAGACTGGTCAGGGTGCCCATGCTGACCCCTGTCTAGCGCTTAAAATGGGCACGTGAGCATCGGAACTGAACAATGGAAGAAGGTGCCTGGTCTGATGAATCACATTTTCTTTTACATCATGTGGATGGTCGGGTGCGTGTGTGTAGTACTAGCTCAAAGACCATTTGATTATAAATAACAGAAGTGATCCTATACTACATATTAATACTAGAAAGAAGGACGTTAATGGAGGAGGCTGAAAAAAGGCAGATCCATATACCATATGCTATGGTCCACCATAAACAAATATTAACCTAAAGACAGTAATAAACCCTCCTGGCAACCAGATAAGAAGTTGTATGGGTTATAAAATCAAACCCTTGTGTTGCATGGGGACCTGTTTGCCAGATGGCATTTTGTGTTAACAAAATTATACCACATATTACCTAATTGTTTAGAGTTTTTTCCCTTTATTTTCACCTAGTCATCCTGACAGTAACACACTTCCTGTCCTAGTGTAACAACACTCAGTTACTGAACCTTATCTATGGAGAAGCAGTGTGGTCACCATAGGCTTCTCTCCTGGTTTGGACTTCAAACACCTCAGAAAGAGTGGATTTGTGTAGGTCACAGAAGATAGCGGGGAAAGCTGATAGCATAACCGGTCTTCCATGTGGTAGAACTTTTCATGACATCTAGAGCCCTTAGTTTGATAGCTAGGTTATAGGCAGCATGCAGTGGAGGTTAAGACTGATGCACTCGGGTCTTGGAATGTTCAAAAGCACCAGTTAAAGAAAAACCTGGGTCTAGTTAAAGTATAACTGCATTTCTGTGATAAAAATAAAGGTGAATTTCTATTTTGCGCCAGCAAATGACAGCCCAAAAAAAAATCTATTTGCAAACACTTTCCTGTTGTTGGATCAAGGGGGTAATTCTACAAACCCGTTAGATGTGCTTGCTTACTGCTTATCACTATACAAGAAGATTGGGGCCTGGGATTACTCATGCCTAGAAGGATACTATGGATGTTTTATTTTATATAATCCTTAATTAAGGTACTATTCCAACAGGATTTCAAGTGTAATACAGGCCTAAATTTGGGATCTTATAGCTCTTAGCTCATGTCCAGCCCTTGATCAGCAGTGCATTACAGAGATCAGATACCTGTTTGATACGGTGGCTTCTTTGCCAAGAGCCATAATTCATGATTTCTGTACTGCTCTGCTGTAATGGCTGGAGAAAAATATCTTACAATACTTAACCAAAGACAACTTTTGAATAAGCATATATAAACCCTGCTTATTCACCCTATCCTCCCATGTAATACCAGGCAGCTAATTGTGGAAAACTGAACACAGTTGAATCCCTCATGCCTTCCTTGTTTGTAGGCCTGGTCCAAGGCTGACGCCGCCTGCTGTCGGCATACCCGAACAGAGCCAGCTTGGAATTTTCCAACCGGCTCCTTCGATCACCTGATTGAGCACCCACGCAGTGAATTTCTGCTGATTCATCAAGAACCAGCCAAAATTTGAAGCGTCATAAAGCTCTCTACACTGCACAGTACAAACTGCAGACGGGTTAAATGTCAACAAAGCAGTCAGCACATAGAACACAGCAAAAGAAAATGACTGAAGTAATAGGTTATATTTCCAAAGCTCCTGGTTATATTAAATTAGCTAATGTGATTTAAAAGTACAGTTATCTTTCTTTAACTCATTTTCTGTGTGTTGCATGTTTCAAAACCGTATTGGTTGATATCGGTGATCAGTAAACTTAAAGAACAAAAGGACATCTGAATTCAGCCCGATCTCTCTTTGTGCTGTATGTTTAGTGCTAGTACTGTATAACTGAAGAATAACTGAAGTTATACTGAAGTTTCATGTTAAGCTTCAAAACCAACATACCAAAATACTTGTTTTGAACAGACTGATCTTCAAATTTAAGTTGAGTTTACAACATGGTGGCCTGCAATTTGCATAGTCAGGGGATCCTAAAGAGGTTTCTATGTGTGTGATAACAGCTCTGAGGACTTGACATTTTTAATGCAACTGTTAGTCACTGTGGTTCCATCCTCCAACTGCACTGCACTACTGTGTCCTGAATCATGGTGCATAGCGGGGAACACAAGGATCCGTCACTCCCAGGAGTAGGGTTGTCACCCGGCTGGTATTTTACCAGCCAATGGGACTTTTTGCCAGTGTCATTAATAGGAAAGAGACCAAAAGGCCAGTATTTTTGCAGAAAACAAGGTGGCAACTCTACCTGGAAATTTGAAATGCTTCACAGTTGGATGAAAAGGCATAGAGGTAAGGTAGGAGAAAAAGGTCGCTGAAGAGCTGAGTATAATACCTTTTCTTTTAATGGGAACCTCTATTCGGATATTTTTTAAACCAATTGACAGGGTTGCTTTAAAAATACATAGTTTTACCTCCTTAATTTTATTTTTTGGACACTTTTAATTAAGATATAGAATATGGAGCACCACACTATACTGAACGTTCCTGACGTAGTAGTAGAGAATCAAGGATAATAGGCAATTCATCCAGTATATTTTAAAGTGTAACTTGAGAAAAAAAACAGTTCCCTCGGGTGATCATTGTACATTGCAAAGATTTTAACAAACTTTGCTACAGTTTTTCCTTTTTTTGTTCTGAAGAAAAATGTGTTTGTCTCACCCTATCATTTCCAGACTGATTCCTGAATTGGAGGGTCTAGTTCATTATAACCACCAGGTACATATTCAGTGTTCAAATGAGGAGAGCTGCAGTGTCTGCATCCCTTTAGAAATAGTTAACCCTTAGGACGTATCTCACAAAAATGAAAATCTGTGAGCCAGTCACACAAGCAGATAATTACATTTCTGGGGGCATTCTGTACACCAACAGTGTACAGAACGCCTCCAGGTTGCTATTTTTTAACAGCTTTAGAAAATTACAGCTGCTTCAGATTGCAATTGAAAGGTATTATTTAATACCATTGGATTACAAAACGGCTTGTGTGTCAATTTTGTATGCAACATTCATTTTTTTTGTGAAAGTAGAGTCTTCACGCAGTCGTTAATGTGTAACAAAGATGAGACATTGATGACAAATTTAAAGGGTCAGGCCACCCAACCAAAATGAAAACCACCCAGTACTAATATTTACTCTTTTGGTGGATGCTGCAGTTAAACCAATGAAAAGATTCTTACATCTCTTAGGGACTCCATTGGTGAGATCTCTGCTCTCGAGTCCTTGGATTTGCACACCTGCTGTGGCCCAAAAAGTTCTCACTCTCCATGTTGGAGAATGAAACAGGAGGAGAAAACTACTCGGAGAGGGTGAAAGATTCATCTACTATGGTAGGGAGGTCTTACTGTTGAAGTAGCCCGCCAGGTTCCACTCTTGGTGAATTGCCACATTAAATGATAAAATATTTTGTACCCATTCTTATTCGTTGCCCATTACCTATACCAAAATGTTAATCGAATGCTATGTTTACAGTCTTTGTGGACTTGATAAAGAGTAATAAAAGGGGTGAAATTCTTTCCTGAAGCAGCATATTCTCCAGGAACTATGACAGCGCTGTACTTATTTTAGTGCAGAACGCAGAGAGCGGTCGCACACTCAGCATCCTACTGCCACTCTGCATAATTTCCAACTTCCATGGATCCTGTGGAACAACCCATAGTACACGGGGCGTGCAGGGCATTATCCAAAATCCCATCTGTCCCACAGAATCTGGGACACTTGGCGACTATGTGTTGTGAGCATTCTGTGTTGCACACCGTGTGCATTGTTTGCATTCCATGCTGTGTGCGATGTGTGTGTTCTTTGCTGTGTCCTGTTTGTGCTGCATATACAGTATATTAGCACACTCTCTGCATATAGTGTATGCGTGACACTCAGCACACAGGACGATGCAATGTACACATCATACATTCTGTGCTGTATATACTGTAGTGTGTATTATGTAGTGTAGTGTGCTCTGCACACTTTGTGTTGCACGTGCGCTGTGTGTGCTGAGTAGTGTAAATGAGCCCACTCCAACCCTCTTCACTTCATGTAGAATCTTCACTTCAGTAGAATCACCTAGAGCCAGAGGACTTTTGAAGGGGGAACGGGAAGGAATCTCATCTTATATTTAAATACTACTAATAATAATAATCCTACTTTTGAAGTTCCATGGCCAATAAAAAAAGCACTCAACATGTGGTCTTGTGTTTTCTCAACAAAATGTCTTGCTGGTGTCTAATATCCTTGCTGTAGGGGGGGACATTCTTCTCCATCTTTATGTAACATGCACGTTTGTCATTTGGCAGCGGAGCCATTCGTGCAGAACATACGGGCACAGAGGATGAAGAGAAGAGATTTTGACATCATCAAGGTGATTGGACGTGGAGCATTCAGTGAGGTAAGACCTGAGCCTGGTATGTGGAGATCACTGACCTTTGCAGAATGGCTAATCTCCATGTAATGTTTAACCATCCCATATGAGGGCTGCCTTACATAAGTAACCAAGATGAAATAGCATTCTGAACGTATTAAATGATTAAGCAAAGGGGCCTGACACAGGTGGCTTTCATTTAATGGGCAGAGAGAAGAAAAAACGTAGATAATTTGATCCATATTACAGAGATAGGTTGTTGGCTGAAACTTTAAATAGTTGACAATTTTTTGTGCAATAAAAAGGAACTGGCTGTTTGGACAGAATGGTGTATGGAGCCTTTAGCTACCCATAAACATGAGGTGATTGTTGCCCAGAATAATTGTTGTATGCCTGTAACCTTTGCTGACACCCCTTGCCAGCTGTAATAATACAGAGCTTCTAAAATACATTCGTATAAAGGTTACAACACCACAAAAAAAAATCTGACTTTATATGAGCACGATCAAAATGTATTACAATATACAGTATGTACTGTGAGATTTAGCTGCAAAGGGACAGATTTCCACTAACTTAGTCCCCTCGGAAACGTACCTTTTGACGATCATGCCCACTTTTATTCATCAACCCATTAGTGCAAGTTTATGTCAGGATTGTTCTGAAGAAAAGTTGTACAGTGGTCAGATCTTCCTTTGGCTTAAATAATGAAAGGATCCGTTCACTCAAAAATTATATTTTCATTATGAAGGGAAGCCGAAGATTTAAAATGACCAATAATTTGTCAGATGTCAGTCTCTCAGGGACTTCAACAATGCTATAAACCTGCTTGAGTTAAAGTTCTGCTCCCATCCCTACCATAAGGAACCTCTCTGCCACTAAAGAAAGCCTCACATCTACTTCATACTGCTGTAAAATAATGAAATGTCCAGCAGTGAATAGCATAAGGCCACTTGTACTGCCTCCATTGGTGGGTATGCTGGGGAATTCTGGTGCATATATTTTGCCATCTGCTCAAAAATAGAAGAAATTTCAACATCAGTTTTGGTGATGCATACCCTTATCATAGTTAATATAATCGGCTCTACACTAAAAAAAAATCGAAAGTCTGCTCAAGTATTTGTATTGTCTGGTTTTAAAAACACATATTTAAATCCTTTGGGTACATTTTGTAAAACTGCAAAGAAACAACATAGAAATTGGGGCATAACATAAACCCAACACGTTCCTTGCTTGTTCACTAGAATGCTGATTGGTTTCTACAAGCCACTGTTCCATTTGTGCAACAGTTTTCATTCATTAACTCCTTTGCCTTGTGTTAACTGAGTTGTAAAATCAGACTTAAAGTCATTTATCTAGAAGATTTAAGAAGGCCTTTGGCATCAGCTCAAAATGATTTTGTCTCAGACAATGAACTCATGCGTAAATCTGACTTTCCATAACATTTGCATTTTATCTGATAAAAGCAGCAAAGAATTTGATTTCCATAAAGAGTACATACGGGATGCCCTGGGCCTTTCTTTATTTAAAGCAAATGCATCAGCCATTTTTCATTATGAAGCATCGTGTCTGAGAGCCACAAGATGTCTGCTAATAAAAATTAACCTTTCTTTGTGCTCACCTCTAAACCTTGTTAATAATGATCAGCTTCCTTCACTTCAGATGCTCCTTCCACTATCCGTCTCCTTACCCAATAGAACACGTTTATAAGCCACTGAGGCATTGGACAAAGTCTATTTAACATAATTTACATCAGAGCTCTCCTTTTATATTAGAGTCCTCCCCTTTCACATCAGTAGCACATCAGGAGCCACCTTCACATTAGAAGCTCCCATCACATGAGTAGTCGCAGCTGTGGCATCATGGTAGAGGGCAGGAGGTGGAGCAGACTTGCATTTTTCTGAATGAATCCCACCCTAAATTAGTGTAATTCATTTCCATGGTGCCACGGAAAAGCATGATGCTGTATGAAGATTTTGAGGCATGCCCTGAGCAAACCAGAAGGCACACTGATTGAGAAAGTCTGCACTAACGAGGTTATTTAACTTATTTTCTCAGTCAGTCGATGTTAAGCTCAATGTAACATCGTATTAATAAAATCACTTTTGATTGGTAGGCATTAAATTATAGTTTGCTGCATCCAGGTTTGGAACCATATTGAGAGGTTGGCTCTGATAGGTTGCTCTTTGCAAAGATGTTGGAGACTTAAACAAAAGGCACCAGAACAGCTTATTTTTCACTGCTAATTTCTCTTCTCTGGCACATGAAAAGTACCATCTGCAGTGCATTAGCTTGCATCTCTATAAACTTGCCTCACATGTGGCAAACTCTCTTTAATACCCTGTTAAAATATTTAACCCTGCCGATGTGTACATATGGAAATACTGGGCTGATTGACTAAAGAAGTTAAGAATGTTCACTGAAAAAAGTGTGAATATTCACTTCAATTATCCATTCATTTAAAAACTATTTTTTTCTCACTTTAAATTGCCTATCACTTGCCGATGCATAATTAATGTGAATATTCACACATTTTCTCAGTGAAGATTCTCAACTTTTAAATCAGCCTCATTGTCTTACACAAACTAAAGAACACCAGGCTCCCTTTAATTAAATATACAGGATCACTTCTAGTGAATTGCACCAGCCACCTTCATAGACACCAACTGTTTCAGCATGACATTGGATCATTTTAGTGATTTCAGAAGCTTCATAATTCAAAACAATGTTCTTCATTGCTTCTGAGAAGTATTTATGCACTAACAAATCAGCAGCTCTTTGCAGAGTACATACAGTATTTACATTAGTCCCGCCCCCGAGGAGTATACAACCTACTATATATTCCAAATTATACATACATACCCAATAGACACAGGGAGAACATTCAAACTCCATGCAGATAGAGGAACTATGAACAGTTATGAAAGTATTGCACAAGATGATGTTCCCTAAAAAGCATACTGGTCAACCTAGTTCAAGAGCAGGTGGTGATGCAAAGCTTGCATCTTAGAAGTTGTTGCTAGCTTGCAAATATTCTTCTTGTCACATTGAATAAATATACCTAATTAAGGAGGCAGTTTTCAGATTCTGAAATGTATTATTATTGTTCACTCAGCTGTGGGCCCATATTGCTGTTTACCTGTTTAGTCGCTGCCGAAATATTACATTTCCTAATGATTTCTTTTGTTTGTTAGCAGTCCCAGGAGTGATAACTCTGTGGTTGAGTTCCGTAGCCTACACAACTGATGTGGGCATTAAAAGGTGTCAAACTCTTCCTTTTGGAGTCTTTAATTTGTTTTACATAACGAAAAATGCAGCAGGAGTGTGCATTATCTAGAGCACTCCTTTTGTAGCAGAAAGAGTGAGAAGTCATGGTGGTCAGGCGCAGTGATGGAAATATCTGATCTTTTGGCTGGAGTGCTTATTTGACCACCTTGGCTCTGCCTATAATTGAAATCTCACTTTGGGGCAAACCTAGTCTGTAACATATGTTCCCTGAATCAGCAGAACGTTTTCTATTACTGGGTATAAGATATTCCATAAATACTACTTTTGTATTCTTGTTTGTAAAACAGCCTGACCAGTCCTCAGAGTGCCAGGAAGTCAATATTTCCCAGCTAAACAAATAATCGCAGATGAAAAGGTCTGGAAGAAAAGCAAATCAATTTACTCTGTTTTGTATTAGCAGTTATGTCGGGCATATACTACCTCTTATGTTAAGATAAAGAACTAGGAAGTTTCCTATCAATATTTTGAAAGTGAAACAGTGAAGAAATGTGTGAACACAAAAACAATTTTGGCCCCCCATTTACCTACTATGAGATAGATAGATAGAAGAAAGGAGTAAAAAAGGAGCAAGAAAAAGAGAGAGCAAGACTGTTCAATCCCATTAATCTCGTGTGGAAAAATGGATACATTCACATGGACCTACCCATACGTAAAATGCCGCTATACATTAGAACTTGTTGTCCCTGGGTTCCCGTATTTTGTTGTATATTGTTTGAGTATTGTTCAGTTTGTTCAGTTTGTTCAGTTTAGCTGTTGAATATTCCATGTTCTAAACAGCTTTAATACGGCTATACAAGTCTAAGTAGGATGGGGGTATAGTTCTTGCAATGCGATTAAGCATCGGGCCGCCGTTAAAATATGGGAAGCCAATTTCCTCCAATATTTATTCAAATGAAGAAAAGGAAGACCTAAAAGGTGATGTAGGGGGGATAATGGTAAATATCTTGGCAATAGATCATTTAGTGTAGACTGAACTAATGTCCAAAAGGGCTGAATCCGTGGACAAGTCCAAAAGATATGGTAAAGGGTACCCTGGTCAGAGTTACATCACCAGCACATGGGATTTATCAGGGGTATAGCACCAATGGTACAAAAGTTTGTACTAATTGTTCTTGTAAAGCAAACAAATAGAAGAGCTAGCTGCAGTTTTCCATATCGCCTCCCATTGCCCCCGTGTGATCTCCAAACCCAATGTTGTTTAAATAGCATTTACTTTAACTCCATAGCACTGACAAATTGTGTAGTGGTTTATAGAGCAAACTGAATCATCTGAGCAGACTCTACCCCAAAAGGCACTTGCCGTTTACTGTTCCTACTACAGTTGCACAAACACACACATGGTGGGCAAGATAGTCATATTTGTATAAAGCAGAGGTCTATTTTGCATGAGGGGTGAAGAGGTAAGAGTGTCAGAAACGTTTTACAAACTCATGTCTGAGTAAAATGATCTTTTATTAATTTTCCTTGGTATGCGGGTTCCAGGCGCTGCTGGTTGTCCAGACTGTTAGGTACGTAGGTTAAAGTGATGATGTAGTTGTATTTGGATGGTGATTAGAATATGCATGTTTTGTATTTTCCTATATGTTGCATGGCATTAACTTGTAATTGTCCATTTGTGGATTTATAGGCCTCTTGAAGAAGCAATATCGCGAAACGCGTCGAGTCTTTTTGTCAAGCTAATTTAGAGGATTGTATTATTCTCGGTATTTAAAGTACCTAATGTGTACGGAACCTATATTATGCAATACGACTGTAATGTAACAAGATGGACAGACGCACTATTCTTTTTAAGAAAACATTTTAATATGGATTAATAAAAGATTATTTTATTCAGATATGAGTTTGTAAAAAGGAGATGGCAACTAAAAATCCCCATTTGATGCTATATGTTGTTATACAAGATAGTCATATGTCTTGCCAAAAACAACAGACTGGAAGACATGAGCCCATTCATAGTCACTGGCTGTGTAGTATCTGTTGATTCAGCCAACAGTAGCCTTTTGGTGTTGTATTTATTTGTATTGGTATTTATATAGTGCTGACAATTTACACAGTGCAATCTAAGGTCCCTATCTCGCATACATACGAGGGCCAATTTAGACAGGAGCCAATTAACCTACCAGCATGTCTTTGGAATGTGGGAGAAAACCAGAGTACCCAGAGGAAAGCCACACAAGCACAGGGAGAACATGCAAACTCCTTGCAGATAGTGTCCTGGATTTTCATTATACAGGTCATGCTATAGCTAGTAGTAGTTAGTCACATTCAACTCAACTTGTTTAGTAATGTTGAAGATGTTAAAATGAGTGTTGGGAACATTATCCACATTTTATTCTTGCACGGACACCTCAGTCACCTTAATCCAAACATCATGGTGTCACGAAATGTGTCATGCTGATGTTGATTATTCAAGAACATGGCTGAAGGTGTAAAATGCTGTGAAAACACCCTGTTCTAATTAAGATAATCCAATCAACATGGTGCCTTGAAGTCTGTGACAAGTTCTAATAGTCTGAGTTACATGGCTGAAAATGGTTCACCATTCATTCAGTGTGAACTCAAATCAATTTTTGGAACATACCCAGAATTTATAACACTCACATGACCAAAGGTGTGGGAAATTGTGAAAACACCCTGTTTTAATTGACATAACCCAGTCATCATGGTGCCATCTGGTCTGAGGCATATGTTTAAGTTATGTACCTGAAGATACATCTCTTTTTCATCTCGCTTTCTCTTCCCCTCACTCTTGTCAAGTTGTTGGAGATGTTAAAACTGCATTATAATGTTCAATATTAAAAAATAAATCCAGATGAATGTGACAAACTACTACTGACCTTCTAGCAAGTTGGAAAGTATTGATGTGCAATAAAGAGCATTTTTCTAATTTGTTTGTTATTACCCACTAAGGTAGCCCTAGATGCCCCTATTTTTGTGTAAGACTGTCAGATTGTGGGCAGAATTGTTTATAGCCATCCTAAGGCCCATTACAGTGGAAGCCAATTAATGTACCAGTATGTTTTAGACAATGGAAGGAAACCAGAATAAATGATCAGATCAGTGTAAACACCATCACAGTCTCCATTTCTTTTAGTTTCCCTGCTAGTTAAGGCTTGGGCCTTTTTTTAAGATAGTGTATTTATAGCCCCGAAATATTCGATCAGCATTATTTTGTTCTGCTGAGTGTAGGCTGCACCACTTTGCTGGTGTGCTTTCTTTACATGCACTTATATGCATTCTTGTATCTCATGTTACGTCTATGGAAACTGTATGGGCCTCTGAAAGAAATCAAAACCTGACAGGTACTTCATTTTATCTAATGTATCCAAAACTAAAATAAGGCTTGCCTGGAGTTCTATTTCATATTCCATTCCTATTTAAGATTTATATATCATTTGGCAGATGAGTCCAGCTTTAGCTCACTACAACTGAGTTATATACTGTTGTCATCTGCACTCTCCTCCACCCCAATTCCAAGGTTCTCCAGAAAAGCCTGGTGAGCTGGTGGTGGAAGGGAGGTAGAATTGGTAGAGGTAACAGTGATCTTCACCCCTAGCTCATTCTGTCTTCTTCTGTCTCCCTCAGGTTGCAGTTGTGCGGATGAGAAGTAACTCTCAAGTCTATGCCATGAAGATAATGAACAAGTGGGACCTTCTGAAACGAGTAGATGTGAGACAAGAAGACTTATAGAGGGATGGTGTATTGGGGGAGAGAGAACTGATCCTGAGAAGAAACTAAGCAAGGTCACACCCTGTTCTTTCTGTGCAGGTTGCCTGTTATAGAGAAGAAAGAGACGTTTTGGTGAATGGAGACAGCAGGTGGATAACACAGTTGCACTTTGCGTTTCAGGATGACAATTACCTTGTAAGTGACTTTCACCTGCCAAATAACATAGCTACACAAGACCATTGAGCTTGGGTTAGGGTGGTGATGTTGGCAAAGGGTCTCTACTTTGCGCTATAGTCAGCCTTTAAACTCTGAAAGAAGAACATATCTTTTTTGGATATAGCAGCCAATACGATTCTTTTTTCATTCTCTCATACCAGAGTGAAAATACAGAAGAGAGAATGTTGTGTTAACTGCAACAAAAATGTTTTGTACCTTTTTCCATTTTCGCAACCTTGACACTTATACCTTTATATTTGGATTAGCATTCTTTGTTCGCATTAGGATTCAGCCATTTAAATTGCTAACCAATTCCAGAGCAGTAAACAATCTTGCAGGCAATGAGCAAGTTCTCTTGAACATTGACAACTTACTATTTTTTAAAGATACTTTTGATTACAAATTGTTTTTGTAAAAAAAAAAGAAAAGAAGAAACAAACAAATTTATGGACATAAGAAACATAGACATTATATTTCCAATACTACAAATTGTTCCATAGTGACCTTTAGCTTCATCTCAAAAAGCCATCAGTTGTCTTTTAGAAGGTATTTTGTTATTTGTCATGGGAAAAGTCAACCATCAATTCCAATTATTATCAACAGTTTAACAAAATCTAACCAGATGTTTACAAAAACACCAATAATTGCATTTATGTAATAATTAAAGTAATTAAGAATATTTTAAAAGCAGCTAATGTACGTACCTGAATTTGATTTGACATTGGCAGTGTACATTGGCAGATTAGGAGGGAGACAGAGGCAGCACAAGGAGCCAGCCAGGGCTGCTGCATACACTAGGCATAGCCCTATTGCTTAACTTTAGCAGAGTAAAGACAGGTCACCAGCTTGTCTACACAGTCTGGCAGGACTGTCTAAATCTCAGGCAGGACTGGATGGGCAGAAATACAAATGTTTGCATGGAGCTCAGCTTTAAGAGGGCATTCACCGCAAGGTAGTGTTAGAGGGTAGGGAAGCATTTACCAAAATTACACTCTGATATTCTGGGATGAACAGAGTTTCAATGTAATGGCAAGAAAATGGCAAGTAAATAAAGAAAAATCTTTGTATGACTTGCCTGGACAAGTCAACAACCACCCTTAGGAAAAAATGTAAACATATTCAGATAATAAATTGATTTTCAAGTTGTGCCTTCTTTATTAATCAGTGCAGATACAGGGGGTCATTATGACACTGAAATGTGCTCACCTATAACAGTCAATCAGTGGTCTCAGAGTTGTTCTATGTAGCATACTCGGCCTCCTCTATCAATGTAACTGAAATAAAAACAGTCTGTTGTCCTATGGATATTAAGCAGATTTATTCCCGCACTAGGAAATAACAGTTAAAGAAAGACAATTTTATTCTGATGTCATTGCTGTGGGGCAATACAGATAGTTCTTATTTTGAATACTTTGATAGATAAGGGCCAGAGAGGCTCATGTACTATAGTTTACTGAGCATACAACGGACATGAACAGGGCTCAATAAGGTTTTCTGTTTCCTTCCTAGTACCTTGTGATGGATTACTATGTGGGAGGTGACCTGTTGTCCCTTCTCAGTAAGTTCCCAGATGGATTCCCTTTCCACATGGCGATCTTTTACCTTGCTGAGATGATAATGGCTGTCAATTCTGTCCATTCTCTAGGCTACATACACAGGTGAGTTAAGCGCTGGTGATAGCTGAGGACCATGGTATTTTTTCTGGAGTTGCTCCTCCTCTGTTTCTCTGAATTTATATTTGCATCTTCCTCAGGGATATCAAGCCAGACAATATGCTTTTAAACCGAGCAGGTCACATCCATCTTGGGGACTTTGGTTCATGTTTAAAACTCCGGGACGATGGCACAGTAAGTACTTCCTCTATTCTGTGCTTTTCCACACTTAACATTGATTGATGTGTTTAACTAACTTTTTTCTTTTTTTTTAAGGTGTCCTGTTCTGTTGCAGTGGGGACCCCTGACTACCTGTCCCCTGAAATCCTTCTTGCCCTTGAAAACCATAGTTTATCATATGGTGTGGAATGCGATTGGTGGTCAATAGGGGCTTGTGCTTACGAAATGTTCTTTGGGCACCCTCCCTTTTATGCTGAATCTGTGGTGGAAACCTATGGAAAAATCCTTCACTATAAAGTAAGAAAAACATTTCATATTATCTGTTTTTTTCTGCCTGTTAATAGCTTGAAACACAACAGACATGTACCCATCATATGGGAAACCACATCAGAGTTAATCAGACACATCAGAGTTACTGTAATCAGACACTAGGAACATTGAATTTTGGCTATGACCAAACATGAATTTATTACTTTTATATACAGACACTGACAGATGATATTCTAACTGTTGCCTTTGAAATAATACAGATGGAGATGATAACATGAAAGAGAAGAATAAAATCACTTTTGTTTTTTTTGTCCCAGGAGCACTTTAATTTTCCCTCCTCAGCAAGTGGGACGCCACCTGAGGCTTTAGACTTCATCTCATCTCTCATCTGTGAGCGGGAAAACCGTCTGGGTATTGGTGGACTCCATGATTTTCACTTACACCCACTTTTTGATGACATTGAATGGGAGAGTCTGAGGGACTGCATACCACCTTTTGTTCCTGAGTCAGTGGGAGCTACAGATACCTCCAATTTTGATGTTGTAGAAGATCAGCTTTCAGAAATGGTCCGCGGTGGAGGAGTAAGTATGGGTATGACTTACCACTCTAAAATGAATTTGAAGGGGCAGTCCACCCCAAACTGTAATGAAACGCTTACAAAAAAAATCTGTTGGGTTAAGTGTACCTCTAGATTGTTATACTTCCTGGCTGTGAGATCTCTGGAGCTGTGGTCGTATCTCCATTTACTAGCCACAACCATTGTGAGAAAATCTTACTGTTTTTTACTTATGTCCTATATTATTGTGTATACAGCTTCATGGCATAGCAGGGTGTGTAATGGGCTGGGCAATCCAGAGAAGCAGCCTTAGTGTCGGTGTTTCTAAGAACTACCATGAGCGCCCATAGGAACCAATCAGGGTTTAACTTTCATTTTATGGAAATGCTAATGCAAGGATTCTGACTCTTATTTTTTTTGCTTATTTTCTTTTTTTAAAAATTCAAGAATTAACCCCCAAAGTGTTCTTCTATGGTTCTATGGATCATTGATTTGCTCCTCAAAAAACTCCACTCACTTGGTCTCCAAGACTCTGTTCTCTCATGGTTCTTTTCCTACCTATCTAAGTGCTCTTTTAGTGTAACTTACAAATCTACATCTTCTTCTCCTCTCCCCCTTTCTGTTGGTGTCCCCCAAGGCTCTGTCCTTGGACCCCTTCTTTTCTCAATCTACACCTCCTCTCTTGGTCAGTTGATCACCTCACATGGCTTCCAATACCATCTCTATGCCGATGACACTCAAATATTTCTCTCCACTCCACAACTCACCTCCTCAGTCTCCTTACTTATCACTAATCTACTAACTGACATATCCGTCTGGATGTCACAACACTTCATAAAACTCAATCTTTAAAAAACTGAGCTCATGGTATTCTTGACTCGGACCTCACCTTTCTTCCCCACATCCAATCACTATCCAAATCCTGCCGCCTTCACCCTTGTAACATCTCCATAATACGCCCCTTCCTCACCAAATAAACGGCAAAGTTACTCATCCACTCGCTTGTTATCTCTCGTCTTGACTATTGCAACTCCCTCCTCATTGGCCTACCTCTACACAGGCTCCTCCCCTTCAGTCTATCATGAATACTGCTGCCAGACTCATCCACCTAACCAACCGCTCAGTGACCGCCACCCCCCTCTACCGATCCCTGCACTGGCTTCTCATCGCCCAAAGGATAACATTCAAAATATTAACAATCACTTACAAAGCCATCCACAACTCTGCCCCAGGTTACATCTCCAACCTTGTCTCAAGGTATCACCCTAACCGTCCCCTCCACTCCTCCCAAGACCTCCTGCTCTCTAGCTCCCACGTCAACTCCTCCCATCTGGCCTGACAGATTTTCTTCTGCATATAGAGGACAGAAATGCACGTGGCAAGTGTGAATGAAGCCAGGATTTGATTTAAATTGTCTGAATTCTTCGTGGGTTTTTTTTTATATCTGAGAGAATTGTATCCAAGGTATTTTTTTTCTAAGTGACCAAACAACTCTCTCATTATCTGTCGATGTCTGAAACTTGTAAACATGGATATCATATGGCTGCGCTTCAGAGTACCTATGTGTTCAATTACGCTGTCAGTTCATATTTCCAAAGGGATCTGACCCCTGAAAGACCTTTCTTACATCTGATAGTCACATACACATGCAGGTTTGTATCTTAAAGCAGAAGTACAACCTCTTATTTGTTACAGTCAAGGAAGGTGCCATCTTAGCCTCTATTTGGATTGCATTTGCCAAGGTGCTGCACATGGGATCAGCTATGACACCAGCCTTTTGAGGGGTTGAAAGTTCGATTGAGAGCTGAAATAAGCCCACTGTCAACCTTGACAGTTGGCATTCATTGAAAGTAACTGTTTCGGGAGACCATTACATTGGTGGGGCTATTTATAGACTTTCATAAGTGCAACTACTGGAGACACAGACACATCACTGCAGCATTAAGAAGCAACAAAAAGCTATCAAAATGTGCATTCTGGCTGATTTCTACCCCTAATGATGGTGATCTGACAGTATATGCCTTAATCTAAGAGTCATGTTGGATAGATTTTTGCTTTTGTCAAAATTGCAGGGATCATACTATGG